TATAAAAAAATTCGGATGATAATATATAATTTGACATTAGCCAATAAAATACCAAAGTTGCAATGAAAGTTCAAATTACCTGCAATATGTTGGAATAAAACCGAAACAAAAAAATGGGACATGAAATTTGCTAACGTAGCACCGCCTACAATCTATCCATTTTATTAGAATAATATAATGATTAACTTGAAGCTAATTTTGTAGATATTACAACAAAAACAAAAAGAGAAAATCTGATGAAAAGTCCGCAATGATCGAATATAACACAACCATGTCAGCAAAACTTACTTTCCATCTGTATCTATTCCATTTTCTTGTGTGTGTCAAGGTTTATTATTATAATAATAACTAAATAGAGGAATAAACCCCTAAAGGTTAGACCTACTGAAAAGAGAATGGTGCTCAGGTGGACCTATTCAAAAGACTTTGACGGTGGTTTCGGTCACTTAAACTGACATTCTATATATATTTTCTAGCACGCATAATTTAAACCATTTTAACGTATATGCCAAATGTAAATGTAGTTTAACACGAGAAAATATTATAACTATCGTTATAAAAAATTTAATTCTTAAAAAAATAATAATAATCCAACAAATAGACCAACTTGAAATCTTGCATGTCTGGATTGACAAATTTAAGAGACCAAATTCTAATGATTCAAAAACCGCATGCGTATCTATGCGCTAGGGATAATTGGCCCTTACTATTAAAGAGCAGACCAATAAATAACCTCATGCATCGAATCTATCCAATTCATTAAATCACATGCTTTATTCGGGCGGATTGTTGCGCAAACAATCAGAATTGATTTTTCTGGGTGAAAAAATCTAATAAATATATGAGTGTCAAATTATTGCATTAAAATAAAATCTAAAAACTATGTTCTACTCATATTTGCCATTTCTTCGAGAGCGCTAGTCATTAACCTAGTGCAGAATAAGTCAATATCGCTTGAATATCACAACTTTGCACTATTTCGGATGGAGGGAGCAAGGCAGCCATTTTGCTCCCCGGGCAGCTGACCTTCAGCGCCTCCAAGATCAAGGCCAGTTGCTATCGATCGTCTGGTGGCGTTCCTTTTCCTGACTCCATCCTTCCAACATCCACCTGTTGATATCGGTGCAATACCTGGCAATTCTTTGTTGATATTGGCATGATGACTTTCTATAAAACATTCGTTTGTCCATTATTTCATTATTCGCCTTTTGATACCATTGAAATACCTGGTAACTCGGTGCTAATATTAGCATAATGCCTTTCTATAAAATATCGGATTGTCCTTTCTTCCAACAACCACTTGTTGATACCATTATAATAGCTGGCTGCTAATGTTGATATTGGCACAATGGCTTTCTATAAAACAAAACATCTGTCTGTATTTTCTTACATTACCCGTTAATAACTTTGCAATACCTGGATGCTCAGTACTTCTATTGGCACAATGGTTTTCTATACAACAAAACATCTGTCTGTATTTTCTTACATTAACCCATTAATAACTTTGCAATACCTGGATACTCAGTACTTATATTGGCATAATGGTTTTCTATTTAACATCTGTTTGTGCTTTCATACAACCCCCACCTGTTGATACCATTGCAATACTTGGATGTTCAGTGGTGATATTGGCACAATGGTTTTCTATACAACATCGGAATCTACTTTCTCCCAGCAACACCTGTTGATAACATCGCAATACTTGGATGTTTAGTGGTGATATTGACACAATGGATTTCTATTTTAAAAAACATCCGTTTGTACTTTCTTTTTACAACATTCATCCGTTAATATATTTGTAATACCTGTCTGATTAGTACTAATATTGGCACAATGGCTTTCCATACAACATCTGTTTGTGCTTTCTAACAACATCCACCATTGCAATATTTGGATGTTAAGTGGTGATAATGGCATGATGGCTTTCTATAAAAATTCTGTTTGTACTTTCTTACAACATTCATTCATTAATATCTTTGTAATAGCTGGCTAATTAGTATTAATATTGGCACAACACTTTATATACAATATCTGCTCAGTGGTGATATTGGCACAATGACTTTCTCTCTCTATAAAACATCCTTTTGATAATTTACTAACGATATGAAATGAATGAGGATTGTTAATATGAGAAATAGAATGTTAATTCTCACTACAGATACTACTAGAAATGTAAAAAGGTCCACTTCTATTTTTAAATAATTCTATTTTAAAAGTTATATATATATTATAATGCATTTGAAATTTACACAAAACCTTTTGTGTTCGACATCTCTGTATACTCACTGTGGGTGAATTCGAATCCATTATTAAATAAAAATGAATTGGATTAAAATTTGATACCATTTTGGTAGGATGCTTTATTATTATGCGAATATAAGTTTCAGAAAAGCTATCCATGTTATTTTTATTTTAAAAATAGCAAAAAACTCTCTTAAAGGTAATTTATAATTTTTAATATTAGAATCTATTCATTTTTTAAAAATAAACCTGTATATATATATTTTTAGATTTATTCATTTATTGCACACAGACACACTCTATATCCTATGTAGATATTTGCATATAAATGTTCAAACCCATCGCGGTGAGGAAGGAGGACATCGCCGAAGCCCTGCGACCTTACTGCCAGGTTATCTCCTTGGTTTATTAGGTAGTGTCCTGTGACGGCTACACCTGGACCACCGGCAACAGGAAGGTCTTCGTTCTTCTAAATTAGGGATTGAAACTCCCCCAGCTCCCTGTAAAGCTGGTGATATTATACTATGTACATGGTCATAATATAACAAATTTCAGCCTACAACAAAGGCTGGAATATTTATTGCATAGTCAAGTGCGAAAAAAAAATAGACGTGGAGACTAGTTGACGATTTAAAGGAAACTGATTGAAACGAGATATATCAAATTTATTTAAATTAAATTGAGAAAATAACCTGACTAAAGGGGATAAATGATGATAATGTTTCATCTTATTTCCAATGAAAGTTTTGGAAGAAGCTACAACAGAGAATTTAGAGGAAGAAGGAAATTTCGACGATAGCTCTAATTGATGGCCAAGAAACTCAAGAGGACCACCATATTAAACCTTCATACAATTGAAGAACGAAAGTAAGAGACCAAGCTTATTAAATTTTTTCTCCAGATGAGGACTCTTTATGAAGACAAAATCCCACCAATGAAGCAGCTGAAGAAACATTTAAAGTCTCCCATGGGAATTTACTATCTTGTTCCTATGGAGAAGCTATTAGTCGCCCTTAGGACTAGAAGCAATTTATAGTGAAATTCATTCTCTTTAATAACACACCATGTATGGAACCTTTTTGTATTACCTGAAGGAGCAGAGCCAATCAGATCCAAATGGATGTTTTCAGAGAAGCTTGATCCTCAAACCAATCAGGAGGTTTACAAAGGAAGACATTAACAAGACACACAAGAGCAAGTATACAATTTAAACTGGGTTCATATATACGTAACTACTTAATTTTATTGAATATATTGTGTATGTATGTATTTATAGCTCTACCAATCTTGTAAACATCTGAGGCGGGCTAAGACGCCAGCCATTTAGCTGTCAACGCCACCCCGCGTTGAGCCGTTCTTTATGACGGCGCTATTTATATGGGTAATGTTGTATTTCTCTCCATTTCCTTGAACAATTATAAACATTGCTATAAAGGGGCAATGTTGGAAGATTTAATTTCATAGCAAATATATTCTATGACCTCTCATTTCCTAACTCTGTCCTTACTGCAATGGAAGGATTTCAAGTGACGGATATATAGGCAGATTATCACAATGAAATAGTAAATGTATGCATATAACATCAAATCGCTTGGAAGGCTCACCGGTGATGAGCCAGACCCTCCCAAAATTTCTCCAATGTAGTAAGGACAGCGGAAAGTATTTTATCCGTAAAATTAAAATTCGTGCTGTAATGATATCATTGTTTAACATCATGTATATATAATATATATGAAATAGTTTTAGTTTTAAAAAAATACTGTTTGCTTAAATTCAACAGATGCCTTAAAATTATCAAATGAATTTATTTAATACAATTGATTCAAATACAACGGATAAATCGAACAAGGGTTATATAAATAATCATTAACATCGCTGATCAACCTTCCAAGTGGTTTAGTTTTTTTATTCTCCAGTTCGCTTCATAGACCGCTTCAAATAAAGCGGCCTGGAGATTAAAATGGCGAATGAGAGGGTTTACCACTGAAAAGCCATTTCCTCCCTCTTTCAATTTTCATTCATTGAAGGCTGTAGAAAAATATTTTAATTATATATATTTTAGATGAAAAGTAGTCTTAAAATTGTTTATGATTTTTACACAAAAAACATATAAAACAATAACTCTCCATCTGTATATAAAAAAATAAAAGCATTAAAGCACGAATGTTTTTTTTACACATAAAAACATCTATTGTTCTTACTGCGGTCTGGTAGATTAAATTGGCGAAAACGCTGGAAGGGGTATATATATATTTATTATTAATTTAATTATATTAACGTTATGTGGCGCTGAGTTTGTTTTTGACACATATTAATATGTTATAATACCTTGAAAAAGGTTGGCGTTCAGCCAACTGAAATATTGGTAAAATAAATTATATTTTAATCCAATATATGCCTTTTTAATTAAACACACACATATATATATAACATAAAATTGCGGGAGGATTAAATGCATGTACCTATGGAGAGAGGCATCTCTCCCTTTAAAATTATCTATTATGTTCATCTTCACTAGTGAAGTATTTTACTAGTGATGATGAAGAATGAGCCATAACACCAGTTTTGGAAAATTCAGAGAAACAAGCCAACCTTTATACCATGGTTTCGGGTTAAGGCCCTAATCATTGCAAGAGCGGCTTCGATTTCATTATATCCAATGTGAGGAGTTATGACATCGGTCGAATTTGCCCAAAAGGTGTTCAAGCTGGTTAAGTGGCAAGGGTATGCAGATTGAATTTTGTCTTAATATTTCCAGATCTGGCGTTGTGGCTTATTTTTGACAACCACTAATAAAGTTTTCCACTAGGGTGATGAACATAATGCATCGTTCTGATGTATAATTAAAAGGAGAGATACCTGCCTAGGAACATTAATTTAATCCTCCCGCAACTTTATGCTGAACTCTAGCCTGAAAATCGGCCCTTGCATCTTCACCAGCTTGAACACCTGTTTGGTTAATTCAATCGATTTCATAACCTCTCTTATAGGATACTAGCGGATGTACCCGGCTTCGCCCGGGTTTCACCCGAGTAAAGGTTTGTCTAACGAACATTTGTTAAAACAATTCTCTATAAATTTATTTAAAAAAAATAATAGATATATTTTGATAATTTGAAACTCGTAAATTTGAATCTCTCGATAAAGTGAACATTTTTTCCCGGTCGCTTGAAAAATACTCGATAAGTTGAATAAAATCAATATTAATTGGTTCCCTCGGTAATTGGAAGTTAAAGAGGAATGGTATCTTGCCTTGGAATTGTATCATTATTCTTGTCTCAAATAAATTGCCGTGTCATCCTGAATTTTGTCATTCCTAATTTTCTACATTACAAAATCATCGTTCTATCTAGTGAAAATATTTTCCCGGTCCCTTGAAAAATACTCGATAACTAACTTTGACTTGTGCTCAATTAATAGGTAGAAAATCTTACTTTTGATGAATAATCTTTAAGATAATAAACTGAGTGATAATAAAACTTATAGATAAAAAAACTTATTATCATCGTCGCAATGGGGGCGCTGCTTTCGAGTTAAATCTACAAATCTGCAAATAACTCTAAGGATATTCAAGATATTCAAGAAATTATTTTTCAAAAACCTTCCCAGTACTATACTAAATAATTTCCCAAAGTTTCATGGCGTTCCAATGAGTGGTTTGGTCAGGCATAAAGGACAGAGACACACACACACACATACATTCATTTATATATATATATAGATTATGAAATCAAAGCCGCTCCTGTACTAATTAAAATCATAGCCCGAAACCATGGTATACAGGTTGGGTTTTGTCTAAATTTGTACATAGGTACACACACATATGATCTAACATATTTTATGGGCGAAAAAAATTATATCAATTGAAAATAATGTTTAAAAATGACAATGAGTTAGGTTAATTGTAGTAAACAAAAATATGCATTATCATTATAAACGAAAACACGGCGCAAAAAAATTGTTGTTTATTTTCACGATAATAATAAAAATTGGGGGGCAAGAATTTCGAGTCACGTGGAGCTTTTCACCAGGCCAGGCACCTACCAAGATCTGGCGAGATCTCGTGGCGCGAAAGCTTGCTTCCGCCTACACTTTTTTCATGATTAAAATAAATAAGATAATTTACTGCACGGTATTATGCAATATATTATAGTGTATGTGCCTCCTTTTAATGCAATTATCCAGAAATCATTGCAATTTTTTATAACATTATTTTTAATTGGTGTCAATTGAGAAACTAATATTTTTACTTCTTTGAATTTTGTTTTGGTTTGAGGCCAATATATAAAACTTAATCGAATTCCATTTTCATTTTGTAACCAAAATTATTTTATATCTAATATGTTTAAAATCTTACTCTTTAGAATATTTTCCTGACTAAGAAACTAAAAAGCGAGTGCTCTTGGTAGGAACTAGAGAATTCAGGGATTCAGATATCGTGGTTTTTGACATTATATATGTTGCTACCTTATAATTGTGTTTGCCGTGTCTAGAACTATGGGAGTAAGTCCTTCGCTGGAGGGCCAGGCACCAAGGCCAAGGATATGCGGAAACATAAAAGCGGTTCAGCGACCCTGCAGCCATCGATTGCGCGCGCCCCCGCACGTCAACGTCCTTCGTCTCAATCGATGAAGAAATGTGTGAATGAAGAAACATTTGATGGCGCCTCCCCTGGTCCCAGAGCTGGAGTTACACACGGCATCTTCTCATTCTCAAACCTTTACTTTAAATACATGTCGTGTAGGAAATTGAAGGAATACACATACGTCAAGTTGAAAATACATTTTAAGAATAAATAAAAATATATACCATATTTTTATATATAAAAACAAGGAGGAAACGAAGAAAACATTCTGAGAATAAAAACATATTTTGGAAAAATAATATTTAAATAAAATAATAAATGTTTGCTTCAAAATATTTTCTTTATATCTCTCTAGAGTTCAAAGAATTTCTGTATTTATTTAAATGGCTTATTCTATATTATTCCAATGGGGCGCGCAGACTCTATAGCAGAAAACAGTCTAATACAGCAGCAAAGAGGTGTGAAATTTAAACTGATGAAACCGCTCTGAGGGTTCACCACTGATGAGCCCTTCCATTTTGATTCCCCTGAGGAGAGTGAAACGTCGGGAGTTAAATAAATCATTAGTTGATGAGGCTTTATATTTTTCTGAATTGTGATTTTAATTACCATTGTGTAAGGTGTTTTAATATAAGTATATTTAATATAAAAATTAGAGTTAAACTTTTGTATCCAATTTCTTCATGCAATAAAATTGTATAAATGGAACTTGATTCCATTGCGCAGGTATATTATAATACAAGGTGGGATCAATAAATATGGTGAATTATAATTTATTAAAAGAAATAAGAACGATATTAAAAATTAGGACTTGATTTATTCAAAATAATCACCTTGGCTTTCTATACATCGTCTCCATCGTTCTGGCAACTTGTAAATACCCTATTTATAGGCACTCTTAGGAAGCGTGTGAAAAAATCTTGCACCACTTTCTGGACATCTTCATCCCAGTCAAATCGCTTTCCCTTTAACTCCTTCTTTAGTAGTCCAAAAAGGAAATAACCAGAGGGGGCTAGGTCTGGACTATATGCAGGATGTTCTAAAACTTCAAAACCTAATTTAATGATTGTAGATACAGTTTTACATGATGTATGCGGCCTTGCATTATCATGAAGGAAGATAACACCTTTACTAAGCTTCCCTCTTCTTTTGTTTCTTATACCGGGCTTTAGATTATTTACAAGAATGTCACAATGAAGGTCGCTGTTCATACGTTGCCTTGAGGATAAAAAATCAAGACAGAATGGTCCATCAACATCCCAAAAATTGTTAACAAAACTTTACCGGCCGTACGTTGAGACCTGATTTTTTTTGGTCTTGGAGAGTCGCCTCGTTTCCATTCCAAAGATGCACGTTTTGTCGAAGGATCATAATGATAACACCAACTCTCATCTCCAGTTACAATTTGGTCAAGGAAATGATCACCTTCCTCTTCATACCGCTTTAACAGAGCCTTTGAAACCCGAATACGGTTAAGTTTTTGGTCCAAATTAAGGAAATGTGTAATCCATCTGCAGCATATTTTTCTAAATTGCAATTGTTTTTTAATAATGGTGTGCACAGTTCCATAGCTTATATTAAAATTGTCGGCTATGGTAAAAATGGATATTTTTCTATCCTCCAAAATTAAGTTTTCAAGCGCATTCATCGTGCTTGGCGTCGCTGTAACACTTGGTCGTCCAGGTCGCTCAATATCGGTACATGTAATTCGTCCATTTTGAACTCGTTCACCCATTTATAAATGTTTTTTTAGACAAACAAGACTCACCATATATATTTTTAATTCTTTGGCATATTTGAGATGTTTGAATACCTTCTGCATTCAAGAAACGAATAACTGCACGTTGTTCAAGCGTGGTGCAATCCTTCAAGGGAGCTTCCATTTTAGTTTATTTATAAGTCTCGCGTCGCGCGTGGGAAAAAAGAACAGAACACCTTAAATAGTCTCTCGATGTTATATTTTAATATTCTGTGGTTTAAATTATTTTTGCTTTTTTTAATTTTTAAGAAATAAGATAAATCACCTTATTTATTGATCCCCCTTGTATTTTTATCGAATTTATTTTCTTACTTTTTACACGTGAACAAACGCATATATATATGTCCCAAAAGAGGTACTTCTCCCATTAAATGTGCATCAGAATGATGGAAATATCACATCACCCTAATAAAAAACCTTTAATAGTGATGATAAAGAATGAGCTACAACACCAGTTTTAGCAAAATCAGACAAAGAGCCAACCTGTATACCATGGTTTCGGGTTTTGGCCCTCATCGGTAGAGGGGAGGGGGACTTCGATTTCATAACATCCTACGAGAAGGGTTACGAAATCGGTCGAATTTACCAAACAGGTGGTTAAGCTGGTGAAGTGGCAAGGGTCGATTTTTAGGCAAGTTTAAAACATAAATTTGCGGGAGGAAGATATTCATGTACCGAAAGAGGCACCTCCCCCTTTTAAATTTCTAAAGATGTATTTAAATAAATCTGAGTCCTTCTATTTATCAAAATGATATTTTTAAAAATCTATAATTACACTTTTACCATAAATAGATGTGTATAGCAAATATGATTTCTTTTCGTTTATTGTACTTCTAATAGATAATAAATAAAAGCTGAGAAAGACTAACCCTATGTAATAGATTTTAAAAATCACCAACAAATAATAAACCTAAAATTATATAGAAAGGCTAAATTAAACAAAAGATGAATTAAATTATGCGGTCATATATAAAAACGTGTTTTTTTTAAAATCATAAATAGCCTCAAATGTTTAATGCCAAACATAAAAATATACTTAATTTAATTGCTTATATAATATATATATAAATATATATACATATAAAAAGAAGCGAAAAAGGGAATACGTATTTTCTAATAATATAGAATAATTTTTAAAAATGGCTTCTCCGAGGATGAAAAAAAAAACCCGAAAGCTTGAGAAGAATATATGCTAAAGCAAGAAACTCGGACTG